TCACCAAGGAGCAAGCCCTCACTGCAAAGCAGTGCCTTGGGTGGGCCACTAGGAGAAGGCCACTAGCCACTAGCCACTAGCCAGTCTAGTCCCATGAGTCAGTGCCACTTGCTGACTGTGGAGGAAGAGAAGTCCCAAGAAGCAAGCCCTCCATGTGAATTGACGCCATGCATATGTCATTGTGGGGACAGCCAGATGCCAGTCTCTTCTGGCATGTGGGCTGGGAAACAAGAAGAACCAAGCCCCTCATCCCCATAAGTGACCAGCTGATCTGGAGAAATATGGGCTGAAATGATAGCTATTGAGTTAAAATACAACTTAATGCTTGTAGTGTTTAGTGTTTCACTAACCTTGCAGGCCTAATGCCAGTAGTCTGATCATCTATTCAGAGAATAATAATACACAATGTAGCATCGATGAGGGATCTCCTTCTGAGGGTGGTAGCTATTGTCAGTTCCTTACTATCTTGTTTTGAAGTCCTGTACCATTTTCATTGTTTTGCTGAGTTGGGTTTTAATATATCTGATGGTATTGGCAGCTATTTCAAAGATAACAAGATATATTATGGTAGCCATTTTGGATTTACTCTTATCTTGTTTTGAAGTCATTTATTGCATTCATTGTTTTGTTTTTATTGAGTCTATTCTGTTCTGTTTTGTTTGATTTTTACTATATCTGAAGGTATCTGCAGTTATTTTAAAGACAACAAGAGGAATTATGGTAACCAGTGTTGATTTCCTAGGCTTTGAAGCCATGTGTCACTTACACTGGTTTATTTTGATTGGCTTTCTTCTGTTTGATTGACTTTATTAAAAAAGAAAATTAAACATCATTTTTTTTCTCTGAGCTAGTAATACTTTTTGAACTTGGAAAAAAATTTCATATTGAAGTTTGCAAATAAGAGGTCCTCTAGCCATAACAAGCAACATTTTGATGTTCCAGTTTGTTTTGAAAATGTAAAGTAGAATGATCACTAAAAAAAGTTTTCCTTTTTTGTGTCTTTTAACACACAGCATGTGTATCATTCTGAATCACCCACTGTATGTCCTTCTTTGTCTCTTCCTTGACTTCAGTCTGAAGCCTCACTGCCAACAGATTGTTATGGATTTTGTCCTCATCTGATTTCAGCCCATCTCCAGTACTTGACATAGTTGCCTTGACTTCCATGCTGCCATAGTTCATAGATTCGTTTTTTTGGGCTTTGTTTTCATGGTGTTTGGATATTGTTTTGTTGATCAGATGATGAAAAAAGGCTAGGAGAATAATAGCAAGTCTGAAATTGCAAGTGGGGCAGGAGATCTTTTGGTTGGGGCTGCCAATGCAGGGATTATACCATTCATCCCACCATTACAGCAGTGTGATGTGACCACAGTTAGAATCTCCTCCATGCCAGGGACTAATGAGTGTGCTCTGATCAGACTACCTTCTCTAGACAATCCAAATCTGTGTTATACCAATATCTTTGAGATGTGTAGGACTTTCATCCCTGGGACATTCTACTTTTCATTCAGAATTTGCCATTTTACGATGTTTGATTATTTAACACTCCCCAGTCATTTTCTAGAACTTTGTCTCTACTGATTCTGTTCCCTTACCCTGTGATGTGCATTCCATCCTCTGATAGAATGCAGTTTGAATACCATGACTGGGCTTATCTTCTGACTGTACTTGACTTCCTTCTCTTCAGTTTGATTGGTAAGGTTTTAGGTAATGTTATTTTAATTGCTTCTAGACACTTCTACCAATATATTTCCCATTCAGTTGATGATTCACTATAATACTTCTTTTGAGTGAATTTAGGAATATGCATAAATTATTCCTTAACCAAGCAAATGGTAGATAATAGTTAGAGGGGAATGAGTATATACATGTGGGCTTAACATAGTTCTTCAGAGCAGTGACTTTGCTCCCCAGATAGCGATTTATGGGCAGAAGAAATATCACTATGGATTGTTGTTAGAGCCCTGGGAGAGGGTCAGGATATCTGATTTCTAGATAAAGATTTGCTAATAGCTATCATCATGTGATGGGACAAGTCCCAACCTCATAGCTACAAAACTCCTAATCATTTGACCACTAAAATCTTTTACAGATTATGTCCGTGGGAGATAGATTAGTTCACATGATTTGCGGTAACATACATGTGGGAATTTATTGTATAAATATATTAGATCAGATATCTTATGTATCAACCACAATGATTTGGGGATACTTGCAGATTTATTAAATTTAAGGAATGGCAGTTGTTCATAGCTAGTAATGAGTTAAAGGAGAAAAAAAAGGAAAGGAAGCAAGGAGAGAGAGAGAGACAGAGTGAGCAACTGAGAGAGAGAGAGAGAGAGAGAGAGAGAGAGAGAGAGAGAGAGAGATCCCAGAGGAAACACATCATTAACTATTATTTCAGATATACTGCTTCCTTGTGTTTGATATTGTCAACATGACTTCCTGAGAAAATACTCTTCCTGTAGCATTTGATTGGCATGAGCTATATTTTGTTTAGGATATTTTACTCTTCTCACATAAACCAATTAACTGTCATATTTTATCTTTCCAGGAGTATCTAAATGTAAGGCTGGCTGACAGCCAGTTAGCTGAGTCCTCAAGGATAATAGCTATTGTCTACACACTGCCTTGTTTTAAAGGCTCTCTAATCAATTCTGGCATCACTTGTGATGCGAAAGATATTTATACAGCTGAGAAGAAAGGTCATATTTGGTCTGCTCAGTGCAGACCAAATAATTTTATTTTTCCAATCTACAGCTCTTTCTTGCTATAGATGACCAAAACATTGAATGCCCTTTCACTATTTGCTGAAAAATTGTTCAGAGGTTCTGATATCTCACTAGCTGAATGGCTTTCAATTGCTCACTGTAATTATAGGAACACCCTGAAAACATAGATAAATAATAGAAAGATGTATTAAGTCAAATACTTCAAACAGTATAGATTAGGAGGCAACAATATTTTATTTATGTTTCTCTTCTGTAAAAAATAACCTCCATGTTAAGGAAAAGCTGCTTTCAACAACTTCAATGAGAGGGTAATTTTTTTATCTTAGAAAGTACACTCAAAACAACATATTAATGATTTATGAACAAATGAAGGAATAATATTAAGATTACATTTCTTTTGAACTATACAAAGTTGTAAAAAGCTTAGAAAAATGACTTGGTTCAAGATAAATGTTTGTTGAACTGATTTATTGAATGTGCCTAAGTGTGCTTGGATGAAAAATGTTTAGATCTAAATGAATGTTCTTAATGTTGGTAAGCTTTCTGGAATTTGGCTTTGCAACTTGAATGAGCATAGATTTAAAAATAATGTCTAGCCCTTGTTAATTCCAATTGAGGATGTGGATGTTACATCTTTAGTTCAGGCAAGAATGGCCATTAGTTAAGCATCGTAATACCTAAGAGTCTAGTTTTATTTTTCATGGAGCTCCTTCTGTGTACTGGTAATAGCCTACATTTACAGCACAAGAAGTGATACAAGTCTCTGCCTCTGAAGAATTTACAGAGTGACAAGGTCTGAACAAGAGCAGTGAATATTATCAGTGCTGTTACTAGAGACAAAGAGGACATCTTGGAATACAGATGCTCCTCTATTACAGTGGTGTTACATACAAATACATCCATCCTTGGTTGAAAATATCATAAGTGAATTCATTGGGTACACCTAACCTACTAAATATCCTGGCTTAGCAAAACAGTACACTGCAGCATGTCAGTTGTTTATGATCATTGTGGCTAGCTGTCCTTGCCCAGCATCATCAAGAGAGAGGACCATCCTGCATATTGTGAGTTTGGGAAGAGATCACAATTCGGTATGGTTTTTAGTGGTTGCATATTGCTTTTGTACTATCATAAAACAGAAAAATCACAAGTCAAAAAATTCTAAGTCCGAACTTAGCTGGTTGATGGAGCCTAGTTGGTCAGAAAGGGCAGGGAAGAGGGGCTGGGGGAGGGCTGGGCCCTATCTGATGGGCGGGTAAGGGATGGCATTGGGAGACTGATTTAAGGTGGCAGGGAAGACCTTCAGATGACAGAGAATGAATACATTCATACAGTGGAAAGGATGGAAGACTTTGCTTTAGCTGCTCCTCATTGCCACAGAAAGAAAGTCTTCAAGAAGTGCCAGTTGTGTGTGTTCCACATGCACCATTGTAGAGCAGTGGCTTAACAAGCATATTCATTTTAAGAATGCCTGTTTCCCTATTTTTTCACCAAATCCTCACAATGAAACTGTGGAATCAACAACATTTTCTCAGTCTTAGGGATGAGACACAGAGATGTCAAGATTACTTCATGAATTTTCTTATTCCTCTTCCATCTGTGTTTCATCCACTCCATTTCTGTCCTATCTTCCTCTTTGTGATAATGGCTGTCATTTGTGGAGCCCCTACCATGGATCGGATTCTACCAGGCACTCTACCCTCATGGTGTCCTCTGTTCTTGGAATGACCAAGACCATCAATGGAGGAAAAGTTGGTGTTCTTTCTACTTCACCTTGGCTCCCTATTTGTGCAGAAGGAGCTTGGTCCTCTTCCAAGTCCTGTCCCGTTTGGAGAAGATTGCGTTATGGGAAGTTGGTGCATTGTTTAATATCAGTTCCTTTGATGGGAAGACTAGTGACATTTTATCTTCTGGATGCTGTCAGTTATGTCACTGGTTGGATTCTTCTCTTTGATTGGTTGCCAGACAGTTTCAAGTTAAAGTTGTACCTTACCGCATAGTGTCTGTATGGTGTTTGTTATGTATTTCTGTATTAGTTCCACTCCTGTATCAATGTTATGGTGTTATCCATATTTTTCTTCTTTCTTTTTCTCTTCCATGTTTAGTTTTGCTTATCATTTCTGGAATAAAGCAAGATATAAATAATTAAAATGTAATTAAATTGCCTGGGCTTAACTTAAGAATTTTGCTTTGTTGTTTTCTGTGGTGGAGAGGTAGAGGGGTGGAGGGGTGGAGGGGTGGAGGGGTGGAGGGGTGGAGGGGTGGATGGGTATCATGTCAGCCACATGCCATTATTACTCAGTCTTTCCCAAGGCTCTGGTGGTATAAGAGCCCGGGTCTTGTAATCACATCTACTTCTGTCACTAATTTTGTGACTTCAGACCAATGACGTTACCGTGCTATTTCCGTATGCCTATTGCGTAAAAGAAAGAATTAGTTTCTTCATAGACGGAGAGGATTAATGGGATAACATACAAAATTGTCTGGTAAGATGCCTATTGATTAGTATATGTTAGTATTATTGCTCTAACTTTCTGTTTGGTCTTTATACATTTCCTTATTTGATATACTTTCTGAAAATATTATTAATGAAAATAATAATAATAATAATTACTATAACCTTGATGAGGTCACCATATGTATAAGGGCCAACTTTGTCACCATTTTTTCCTGTGACCATGCCATTTACAAGAACTCACTTATTCTTTGCTCTCTCAGTTCTTCTTCCCTATTTTTTTCTCTAACTTATTTCATTATCAATTATTATATCTTTTGTTTACCATTTGTCCCTTTCCTCTAAAATATATAGTATGAGAGGGATTTATGCTTGTGGGGTGTGTGTATAAGGTGTGTTTTGTACACATTGCAATAATCTGCATCCTCTAGAACATAGCCTGGTGTGTGACAGTCAAACAAATCTATATTGAATCAATGAATAGTCTTCAAATATCATCAAAATTTCATTAATATGAGTTTTGATGATACTTGAAAAAGAAAGGGTACTTGTTTAGCTCAGGGCAGAAGCTCTTTCCGCAGAAGTGGGTACTTGAAAGGCCAAGAGAAGACATGGGTTGCATGACTCTTTAAAGTGGTTGGTAGCTCAGAATTCTGTAGTAAATTAGTATCAGGCATTTTATCACCAGCAAATAGAGTGTACACAGAGTCAAGAAGAGACCAGAGAGGAAACCTCCAACATGACTTCAGAATAATATCCTTTTTTTTTCTGCTTGAGGATAAGTGTATTTTACAGAAGAACATAAATACCATAGTTAAAAGATATCCTAACAGGAAACATAAATATTGCAGTTAGAATTCATAGATGTCAAGTATTTTTCTTGTTCAGTCTCTGATCTCCTGAACCATCTTGGATCATGGGAATTTATCATTTCGTATCTAAGTAACTTTGTCTAAAAATCTAAATCTCAATAGACAGAAGCATTCTAAGATAAAGTTAGATTAACAAATACTCACATGGACACATTATCTGAGAAGACTCTGACAGACAACAGAGCAGCATGAAAACAAGGCAGGACTTCAGGAGCCAGCAATTAAGCTGAAGGCATGAAATCAACCCCCAGAGATAAAAACAGTACAGAAGCTTGCTTTCTTGATTCTGTGCTTTATGAATATTTCTTATAAAAATGAGTTTGTGGAAAATTTTTTTGACTTACAAAGGCCTTAGTTGAGGATCGTTCCTTGAATACTGATAGGTGAACACGGATAGTGTTGCCTTCCTTGCAGTTCTGGATTTCTGCATCAAAAAAGTGCCATTTACAAATATTTGCTCTGTACCAGGTAATGTGTAAGACATAATCTTATCCATCACTTTATTTAGTCACTACAATGTCATTGTGAATCGGCATAAGTATACTACTTTATAGCTAAAGAAGATGAAGCACAGAGAGATTGTTTTGCTTCCAAACAATGCACTTAACAAATTTAGTTAGATTCTAGGAACTAGATTCCAAAAGCATTTTTGTGACTTAAATCCCACATTCTCTTCTTCTTTTACCTATTAACATTTTAATTAATTACATGTAGAAGATCTCCTTCCTGAAAAATAAAAGCAATATTATGGCATACAGTTTTGAGTGAGGATAAGAAACATGGTCTAACCTACAATATATTTTACTAATACAAGATTTTGAGCCTAAGGCTTCACTTGAATTATTCGTGTAAGAGCTGAGTTACTAAGAAGTTTCTCAAGTATATTAACTTTTCATAGCTGTGAGAAGGCCCTGGGACACATGGAAAGGTGTACTATGGTTTAGATCTCATAGGGTTTAGTCCATTGTCATCTGGCTCCATGGAAGAAACAGTGGTGGAAGGGTTGCTTACCTCATGGCAGCCAGGAAGCAAAGAGCAGGGAAGAGGAGGGATAAGAATTTGTACCCTTGCAGGTCATGCCCCAGGGAACCATCTTCTTCAGCTGGGCTCCACCTGCTAATGACACATTCAGCTATGAACTCGTCATGCCTTAAACCATTGATCGATTTCTCCACACCATGATCTACCAAAAGCCCTGCTACTGTACTTAGGGACCAAGCCCACAATACATGAGTCTTTGGGCTGACACTTCATATTTAAACCATAACACCCAGTCTAAATTAAAATAGCAAGAGTGACAGACAAGCAGTAAATAACAAGCAACATTATTCTGTGAGTACTGAGGTCTGCTCAGTTCAAAGTGGCAGAGATTAACACTGAGAGGAACAAGCTGAGAAGACAGCAAACTGTCATTCTCAAACATTGCTTTCCGGTCCGTTTTTTTGCAGAGCAGCCTTGAAGACAAACATATTCCTCTCATCAGCATATGTTTCAGATTGTAACCTGAAAGATGTGTGTGTAGCACAACAAATTATTACTCCTTGTAATTAATCTGTGGGAAGGCAAGTCTGAGCTAATATGAAATTTAAGCTAGAGAAGAGATTTAAAAGAAATTTAGTTATGCACACAAAGCTTGCACCAGAGAGCTAAAGCCAGGGGACTCAGGAGGGCTCTGATCCTTGTGTGGAATATAAGTAGGGTGGCCTTTCACAGAGAAACCACAGTGACTTGGGGAGACAAACTCCCCCAGTGAGCGAATGGCCCAAGAAGTATTAGAATCTGCCCTACCCAGGCGGGACACAGTTCTCTGCTCCCTTATATGTTGTATTTAGAGCTAGCAAATTATTACTATGTAACAATTTCATGCATATTTTTCATTAATGTACAAAATTATATTATAGTATTTATCTGTATGTAAGTCAGTGCTGCCAAACTGCTAAAACCAATTTTTCCTGCACTTTCTGTTGGTACTGAATTTTAAAAGAGAATTGTCAATATAAAAGTAAATTTAATTTATTGGTTTGAATTATCTTTTATTCTGAATTAGTGTAACCCAAATTCATGAGATTTTACTTTAATTCTCCTTTAAGGAGTTTAATATCACTGTAAAGATGTTCTGTTTGGTATTGTCTTCAATTTAAAAGACAGAGATGTTTCACATCATTCCTTGATAATCCATTTCCAGTGTCCTTTACAGAACTGTCCTCTTCTCCTTTATTATCCCATGACCATGTAAAGTACATTCCATTAGTATTTTCCTACACAGTTTTGAACTCAAGCCCTTTTATTTTAAATAAAAATAAAAAAGGCATTAAAAAGGCTCTTCTATTTGGGTAATTGTTACACTGCTCTGTGTGAAGTCAAGTAAAGAGAATTAATTGCTGTCAATTGAACTTTGTAACAAGAGCAGTTGAAGAGGGTTGGAAAATCTTAATTGTGTAAACTTTCTGAAGTTATGCTTATCGAAAGACACACATGCATCGAGTCTAAGACCAAGAGCAAAGAAAATAACTTTCTCTTAACTTCACTCTATTAAGGACTGTTACAATTACACAAATATCCATCTCTTGAGCACTTTTTTCTTTTCTGTGCTACTAAGGACTGAACTTAGTGCCTTCTCACTGAGCTATATCCCCAGCAGTTTTTTTAAAAAAAACTTTTGAGACAGGAATTCATTAAGTTATCCAGGCTGGGCTGGAATTTGTAGCTTTCCTGCCTCAGCTTCTCAGAGTCCTAGGATGACAGTCATGGGCCTCACACCCAGTTTGGGAACTACTTTTGAAAAGTATCATATGCTGACCTGGATGATTTCTTTAAAATATCTTTCATGTCCTAGAATTCTGTTTTGTTGATCCTTTGCTTATTGTTTTTAAGGATTTTAGCTGGTAATTTTGTGTTCTGAATGATGTTATGGGAATGCCATTTGGGATCTGGGATTGATGTCCATCCTGTTTCAAGAAAAGCATGTAAAACCACAATATGTCTGAATGCAGGGAGTGTCTAAAATGTACGAGTGAGGAGCCGAAGTGTGACTCAGTATACAGATGTCAGTGTTATAGTCTTGGTTCTTAGGGTCTCGTGAACATGCATTTTGCTGGCCAGGAAGCACATATGGTGGAAATCAGCCCTGTACTGAGGGGTCATTTGCTCCATCTGTGTTTTTCTTGCCTTTGGTATAATCAAGGTAATCTCCAAACTCTCAGAAGATGAATCCTTGTGCACATATTTCATAGATGCAAGACCTTTATTTACGGAAAACAGTTCTAAAGAAACAGGCTAAAATTAAGCAGGATCAAGTGGCTCAGTGTGAGTTTCTGTGAAAGCTGCTTTTTTATTTACATTCTTTTTCCCCTTCACTAGTTTGACTAGTAGTCAGTGTTGCCTCATGGAGAGATATTTGTGATTAAGCCAACAATTTTTTATAATTCATATCCCTTCTTGATCTTCTGGGGCTCCAATACACAGTGATCTTACTTGCATTCTTTAGCATGCCAGCTTCCTACTTATCTACATTACTTATAACTTTTAGAGACTTATAACACCCTTTCTCCCCAGCCCTGCAGAGTGCGTGAGTTAAATACTGTATGTGTGGGAGGAAACTGCTTCCCAAGGAAAGCGTCCTACTGGGCATCCAGTAGCTTCTTGCTTAGCATTCTAAATTCTTAGACTGAGACATAGCCGGAGTCAGTCGTAAAGTTTTATCATGAGTCTTCTTCTTTTGAAAGGATACATTCCAAGGTCCTTCCATAGGTCTTAGACCCTGGATAATGCTGAACCCTGGACATAAATAACTTTGTAAATATTACATATATGTATTTATATAAATATGCTCATGCCAAACTATAATTTATAAATTATATAAATTATATAATTTATAGGTAGAGTAAAATATCTACAACAGTGACTAATAGTAAAATAGAAGAGTTATAGCTACACACTATAAATGCAAGTTACATGAGTGTGGTCTGTCTGTTTTGAAACAGTCAAAATAAATAATATTTTCTGACTGTGTTTGACTGTATCACTGAAACTCTATCAGTGAAGCCACAGATACAGGGTATTACTCTGCCATGCACCATCCTCTCTACTGCAGGAGCTTTTCTAAGCTTGATGACCTTTTATGAACATCGGCCTAAGTGTGGGGATAGAATCTCCCACTTTAAAACTGTTATTTTAGAAGATTCGGTTTCCATTAGTAGGAAAGCTAATTCTTTCAGATCAAAGAAAGTGCTTAAATATTTGCAAACTTCCTAAATTTGTAAGTGGAAGCTGAAGATTATTGAAAAGTTCAGAGATGTTTCAGGGAATAATTTATATCCTTAGTGAGTCCAGATAATTAAATTTTTTACAGGAACTGTTCGTCTTTGTCTCCAAATCAAAGAAGAGTCCCTCATTAAGAGCCCTTTTGCTTTTGGTTTAATATGTCCCATACTAAATTTGATGATAAATCAGTCCTTGTATCATTCAATCTATATTTCAGAGATTAGGGAAAGATAATGATATAGTCAGTGAACTAAACTTTTGTTTGCAGGTTCTCATTGTATTGCAGAGAAAGTATCATATAGTAGAGCAGTGATTTCATCAATTAATTAATTAACTCATGCAAACTGTCAAGGTAATCACAGTATTCTGGGTGGTAAGCTAAGTCTTAATGTCCAAGTGACTCAAGAAACAGATATACAAATGCATGGTTTGAAACATTGTGCGTATCATAATGGGACATGTAGAGATAAAGGGGAGAAATCAATTATCCCTGGCTTGATGAGGGACCCTCGAGACAAGAGGGTACTTAGCATTTCTTATGGCTGATCCCACAAGTGATTAGGGCCCCCTCGATGACATTAAGCTGTTTCCCAGAAACTTTTATGAAGTCTTACCTACCTGACCTCCCAGTGCTGGTGCCGCAGGAGTGTCTGTTGTGGAGAGAACTCTGACTGGGTAGAACTTGACCGCTATAAAAATCATTCATAAATTTCCCCAGGAAACATTAAATAGGAATCAGGGAAGGAGTGGCACAGATGCTTTCCTTGTATTTGTTCCTAACATATTGTAACAAAAGTCAGGGTTTCCTTTTTAAACGGTTGTAAAAGTGGTTGCTGTATTTTATATCATGGTGCAAAACTCAAGTGAGAGTATGAAAGGAAATACTTACAATGTACAGAGTACTTAGAAAAGCTATAAAAATGTAAGGCAATTCTATCAATTATGCTTTCAAGAAAACATGATCAAGATGAGAAGTAGGCAAGAAAAGAAGGGAAGGGGAGAAGAAGAAACAGAGATGGAAAGAGGGGAAAGGGAAAGAAAGGCAGGGAAGGAAACGAGAAAAATCAAGCGACATGCATGAGTCAGACACTGGTCTCTAGGCTGCAGGCTCTGTGTTGTGCAGAACTGTGCATGTGGGGTTAGATTTATGGGGAGGATCACATCAGCCTCTGAGACAGTGGCTGCTGTGCTTGGTTGGATTGACTATTCAAAGATCAGAATTGATAGATCCCTCTTTGCCCTTGAAGCTGGATCTGGCCCCATATATTCAAGTCAGTATTTTGGGAAATTCCTGAAAGTGGCCTCCATGTTTAAAGGTATTTGTCCTATGTGGTTAGCAGATGTTTAAGATGCTTCTTAAGGGATATTCTTCCTCCTAAATATCACCCGATGTTCATTGCTGTTTATACTAGCTTCCTTTTCATTTGATTTTGTCTGGATTCTTGATATGTTTCCCATAACAAGCTATGTGACTCCCGCCTGGGTTTCCTCTCGTCTGTTTTTCACACTCATGTTGAATTTCTTTTTCTAAGACATCCCTTGATCATAACTTTGTCCTGGTTAAATCTTGAAACAGTTTCACTTCTTTTTTAAAATAAAGTCCCACACTTTCATGTGGGCAGTGTGGCCCCTACTCATTGTCCTCCTGCATATGCTTATTTGTCCAAGTCCAACATTTTTTTGGCTACAAGCTTACTTGGAATTCTTAAAATACTTGATGTTTTGTTCATTGTTCTCATTCATTCATACACACACACACATACACACACACACACACACACACACACACACACACACCTCTCTTTACATTATATACTTCTGCCTAACAAATTTTCTAGCTCAAGCTGCTTAACATACCATACATAGATTGGACAGCTTAGGCAAAAAATTTTATATCTCATAGTTTTGGAAACTAGGAAGTCATAAGTCAAGGTTATATCTGGATTGAACTGAATTTATGTATGCAGTCACCTTCTCACTGTATCCTTATATAATCTTTCTTCAGTGGCAGTGGAGAGAGAGAGAGAGAGAGAAAGAGAGAGAGAGAGAGAGAAAGTTGGTGTTCTTAAAAGCCACCAATCCTACTGAACTGGAACTCACCCTTATGTCCTATTTTAATCTGGATTACTTCCTACAGTTCCCATCACCAATTACAGTCTCATTGGGAAAATTAGAGTTGTAACATGATTTTAAGGAGGACACAATTTGATCCATAGCATGACTTATTTTTCAAGAATCAGCTCAGTTTCAATTATATAAGGACTTTCTGGTCTCTTCCAGGATAGGTGGTTGCTCTTTTTTACCTCATTGTCATTGTTCTTTCAAAGGCAAGAACTTGTATTCCCTCATCTGGATGATGAATGTACTGTCAGGTGTTTGATTAGTAAAAATGCCTGTCAATGACAGGTCAGTGTTAGTATTCCATTTTCTGTTTGGGAATAAATAAAATACAAAGGCAGTGACATCAGATATTCTGTTACCAGTTCCTTTGATTTTGGTTTTTTTTTTTACTTTGATCCCCAAAATGATCTCCTAACACATTTCCAAAAGTATACCATCTCCAATCCATAAGCAGATTAATTTTCTTAACATTACTGTTTATACCATTTTGCTATGTAAAGCTTTAATCTTTCTTTTCTGCTCAGTAAAGTCAAACTCATTTGCCTGATATTTAAGGCTGTGCAATCTGTTTATGACCTGATTTTACTGCTTTGTCTGACACTGGTTTCCTAGCAAAAACCTTTATGCAGCGGCCGTCTACACTGCTCACCACAGCTGAAAAGCACTGTGATTACCCACCCTGCTACCTCCGTGATAGCTACCGTGTGAATGCACCTCTGCCTGTGCCCGTGTCTTTTGTTTTATGTTTGCCTTCCTCATTTACCTCTTCAACATGACTCTTTCCCCATAACCTTTACCTTCACTCCTCACATCTGCTTCTTGATTGTTTTTTATTCTACACCATTCAGGAAATAACCCTTCCATTTTTAACCTTCTCCTGTAATACTTAGGTGATTTGTCATAACCACTTGAACTTATCACAGGCCATGCTATATTGAAGAAGACAGAGTATTAGAGTTCTAATGCTATCATCGCTATTTATAAGCAAAAATGATTTCTTTATCTTCGATAGGGAAATGGTGGTGTTGATCCAGTCTTTGTTAGAGTAGGGTAAGGAACCAGTTTGAAAATAACATTTGTACGAAAGTGATGTCTACCTCAAAGAGGGTCTTCCTATCTGTGTCTGTTACTAGTTTGTGAGTCTCATGAAAGTCAGACTTGCATACCAGCACTCCCCTTTTATCCTGAAGCGTGCGAAGGATGATATTTTACTCATAAAATAGCTACCGTGTGAATGCTGAGTAATCTGCATGGGAAGGAGAGTGAGCTACCAAGGCGTCCTTCTAGCATTGTGTTGTTGACAAATGAGACCGATTATCCTCCAGGAATGGGAGATTACAGAGACTGTTACTTTCTCTTCAAGCGTTTCCTACCCCCATCTCCTCAGCGTACCCACATGTATGCCTAATTATTCCTTGTTCTTCTCAGTTTTCATTATGCTTTAGGAAGTGACTATGGACCATGACCTTCAGCCGTTTCTTCCCTTGCAGGGCTTGTGCTTGAGGGAGCAATGGAAACCTTGCCCAAGCCAGAGATCTAGGCTGTGTGAGGCGCTATGTGTTGTCTTGGTACCATAAAAGGGCCTGGAGCAGTAGGTAACTGGACAAAAGCATGGGAAAGAGAGTGGGAGCTGGAGTTGGAGATTAGAGACCGCTGGTTTTTGTAGCTCTTCGCTTTTAATGTTTGTTTTATCAAAGTTATTATCTAAAGCATGTCCTCTGATGGGCTTTAGGCACCGGTTAGGGAACAGTTCTGGACATAGCTATGAACGATGAAGGATTAGTTATGCATCTGGGACCACTAATGTAGGGGAGGCCTCAGGATAAGAGCTCGTTATATTTTCCTCTTGTGGACTCTTGATTCAGTTGTCTGGGTGTCATTTCAGTACTTTGTCATACTAAAACCTAACTTAAAAGATTAAAAAATCATACTGAGGCCGCAGCGAGGGCCAGGAGGAGAACAGAGCTCCCAAGATCCGGCCACGGAGGGACTCAGGCAGCTTATTCACCCGCCCTCTTGGTAAGCGCCTGCAGCGTGGGCCTGGAGGAGAACCATTACCTGTGAGCCTACTGCCATGTGGGCTGAAAATCAAGCACCCTTCCCCGCCTGCCCCCTCCCCGCATAGCTACTGGGGTTAGATGTCTCAGCATCTCTTGAGATGATGACCATATGCAGTATAACAAATATGGGGGATTTCCTTCTATCTTCTGTTTGAAGGCAAAGGTTGTTTTCACTGTTTTGTTATGTTTCTTTTGCTCTATGCACTATTCTCAATTGGTTTTATAATGTTCTATTTTTGCTTTAATTTAACTATACCTAATAGACTGGACAACTATTATGAAGTTAAAGAGATATACTTTAATACATATTACTACTATCCAGTATCCTACTGTGAAATCCTGTACTAATTTCACTGCATTGTCTCGAAAAAATAAATCATGCTGATTCTGTCTTATAAAAGGTGACATTGTGCTAATCACGGGTCTCCTACATTAATTTTGATTTTTGTTTTGTTTTAATGCAATATTTTGATTGCCTTAAAATATTGCCTATCTGGATTTCTGAGATTTTTGATTTCACCTTAAGTTCATGACTAATACAAGTAACTCCTTGCCTTCACCATTATTTATATGATTTTAATGATTTTTGTTGGTGTACCAGTGACAAATGAAATCCTTAAAAATATTGTCTCAATTATAGAAAAATTGTGTTCTTTCTTGAGGAAGAATACTAAAAAAATAGTAAACATGCATCATATAACCTGTGAGATCATGGAACAATCATTATCCTTGTAACATAGTGACATGATGTTCTAGGATTCTGCTCTGTGTATCCTAGAATATTCTGGTCATGGGCGGTGCCTTCCTACTTAGACATAATCTGCACATACAGGGACTTTGTAGAGGGGACAGTTAGACTCAGCTGACACTTGTGAACACACATGGTATTCAGATGCTCTCGGATCAGGTATCCAGACTTTACCAACTTTTATCGTTCTCACAGCAACCCTGTGTGATGTTACCTTCAGTTAGTACCTGTGCCCAGCATGTGCAAGGTCCTGGGTTCCATTCCCAGCACTGCAAAATAAATAATAAATCAGTAAACATTTAAAAATTTAGAATATAGACTTTAGATTGATAGGAATAGTATATCCCTTGCCTATACACATACATAGCCTCTCTCATTGGTAATGTCACCCCCAAATTGGTACACTTGTGACAACTGATGGATCTGCGGTGACTCATAATTACCCCATAGTTTCCTTTAGGGTCCACTCTTAGTGTTTTCCATTTTATGGGTTTTGGCAAATGTGTAATGAGAAATATCTATTATTCCATCATATAGAATAGTTTCACTGCCCTAAAAATCTTCTGTGCTCTGTTCATCCCTCCTTCTTTCTAAATTCTGGCTACTACTGAACTTTTTTTATTCTGTCCATTGTTCTGTCTTTTCTAGAATGTCAGATAGTTGGAGCCATGTAGTACCTGGCCCTTTCAGATCAGCTTCTTTCACTTAGAAATGTGCATTTAAGTTACTGTAACATGGCTTGAGGCTCGTTTCTTTTTAGGGTTGAACAACATTCTACTGTCTGGATGTTACTATATCATACCACTTTCATAGCAGGACAATGAACCTAAGTGAGAAAAAGCACCTGCTCCAAAGTCAAGATGAACGGGGGGCTAGGGCTTGAGCCTCTGATCCCCTGATGCCAATTTGTGTGCTATTTCCACAAGTACACAGCTGCTTCAGGCAGGAAGAAGCGAACTCTGTCCAAATATATATAGATACAAAAGAGAAGTGCATCGATGAGATCTTAAATAAGCAGAGTAGTATTTAGATCTTCATTTTTAGATGAGGCATGGCAGAAACCAGTTGCTATTTTTCCTTTAGTAATTCTAGAAGTGTTTTGTGGAGTGAGCGGTCAGTGGCTTTAACAGGCAAAATGCAGGCTTCTTAATAGAGGAAAGACAGGCTGGAACTTGGGAGTTTCCCAAGCAGATGATGGCATTTGAGAAATGCGGGAGAATATGTGAGCGAATTAACTTGAGACAGTCTACATTCAAAGTTCCATATAGTGCTGCACACCAACTATTAAGTTAGTAGAATTAAACATGACAAAACAGAACTTTTTTAACAGAATCAAATTTATGTTTCTCTTATTCTGATGTTTCCTTTTCCTCCTAGCAGAGCATTGGAAATATGTATTGACAACAGTTTGCATTTATTAAGCACTTACCATGTGTCAGGCCTGGTGCTAACTACTTTGTATGCATTAATTTCTTTAATTCTCACCATATGTCTACAAAATAGGTTCTATTGTTCTGCTTATTCTGCAGACAAGGAAATTTCTCATCAAAAGAGAAGTAACTTGCACAAGTTCTGACAGCTAATTAAAATATACTAGAGTGGCATTTGATTTGGACTCATGTCTGTCTAATTTCAGAGCCCAGACTCATTCATCAATAGGATCTGGCACAGAAAGTATATTAAACTAGTGTCAATTTTTCTTCACATTTAATCATTCTCTTTAGATTTCTGAAAGAGTCTTATAGGAGAATGTGGCATTACTAAACATACATTAAATCTATCATGCAAGGATATTCTAACCACTGTACAGTTGCCTAAATGTTGACCTGATATTTGTGGTAAGAAAAAGGAGAAACATTTTATATTTTTGATGTGGCCATATTTATGTAAAGTTACATCAGAAAAACATTGTCATTCCTTAAAAGTAGAAACAAAAATTGCATTGTGGTTTGCAAATTGGACAACTCTAACATATATCAATACGTCTTAGTGAATAAAAAGAAGCCAGCCTTTATTCAATACACTTGAAAAAGTTTTATTCCCTAAATGATGATACATTGTGTTTTTCATTTTATTTTTAAACTTTGCTCATTTTACAGAAAGCAAAACTCAGGAAGTAGTTTGCTGAATTATCAATGTATCAGTAAGTAATAGAGTTTGAATTTCTATCCATAATGTATTTGTTTCAAAAGCTTGTACTTTGTTCACTCTATTGTATCACAATCTTCTCATGAAGCTCAGTTTCCAGAATAGATATTGCTTCTGCTTTTCCTAAGTTGGCCTTGTGGGATATGGAAGTTCTGGGATCCCTCTTAAAGACAGATGTGGTAATTAAAAATATCTGTGAGCAGCAGGTTTTGAATATAAGGCTGACACTGAAATGCTCAGGTGCTCTCCGAATGAGACACTTGAATGTATTAGATCTGCTCTCTCTAAATTTCATGTTCTCTTTGATAAGTGGGGCTGACAAGCAGTGTGACACTGCCTCAGAAAGCCCTGGATTTTCTGCAAATTAGCTATGCAGTTTTGTGGACATTGCTTTTCCTTTTTTGTAAGATGAGAAGAGGTCGAACATGTGGAATTCCTGGGTCTGTGAGTGTGCAATATACCTTTGATTTGGGGGTAAACTTCAGTTCGGTCTTGATTCAGGTGTGTAAGATGGGCATACTGTTAATTTTTTATTTCTCATTTTTTGCTGTAACAGTAAAATGTCGAGGAGACAAAAAAAAAAAAAAGGGAGACTCAAACAATCTTTATGGCTCTCTATAATCATGGTGACTTAGGTTCGTATAGATCTGTATGCTTTCAAATCTCTGACATGTAGCATGTATCATTTTATCTCTCCTTAGCCCAGATGAAGTAAGGTAGGGTCAGACACAGGCATGGGTTACTTAAATTTTTCATCGGTAAAGTATATTCACATCCATCAAAAACATCAGGTATGCACTTTATTAATGCCTAAGTAAGAGAAACTGAGGACACATTGAGAACAGAGCAGAAGCACTACTGGAAAAGTGACCATGATCAGAAAGACATTTCGGATGCCCTGGGGAGTATTTGTTGTTGGGAGTAGAGAGTAACTGAGAAGGATGAACTGGGATGATTCCCAGGTTTTTGGATGACTGGTGTCTGGTTGCCTGTCTTCAAGGTTGGCCATGGAGGGTTGAGTGCTTGTGGGAAGGAAAGGGCACCAATGCTGGTGTTCACTGATGTTCTTTTTTTCCAGCCAAGTTGGGTTTTCGTTTCCGCTTGGCCACTGGGATTCGGTTGGCTTTTGGAAGTATTTGTCTAGTGTTCTGGACAGATAAACAAGATGGAAAATGGACTATGAAAGTATATTTGTAGTGGAGCTGATAGGAATTGGAGCTTTAGCTATGAAAAGATGACTGTGGGAGAATAGGTGGGGAGAAATTGCTTGGTTTTGCCTGTTCCTGCAGACGCCAGGGAGTTTTACTGAGCAAGTAGTAACCACTGGATAAAGCGCCTCAGAGAATCACAGTTCCAGGCATCTCACTGGGGAGGCACACTTCTCTTACTGGCATGAGGGTAGGTGACTTAGAGTCTTCTCTCCACTGAGTACCTTTTGCTATGTCACTACTTGCATATCTAAGGCTCAAATAAGGTGGAGGAAGTGAAGTCTGAAGGCTCTGCTTGGTTACAGGTTACAGAACTCTGGTTTATTATGTTTTGAAATGGGTCCCTTAAAATCTTGGACTTTTCCATGTTTTACTGTTATTTGAGTTTCTGTTGCCATTCCTAGAGGCTGTTTTGGATGGTGGTGAGTTGGCGCTCTTAGTGACATCAATAATCTCATTTAAGTAAAACATTTTATTTTAGTTTTTAGTTTTTAAGGAGTCCTCTCCCCAGATCTTTCTTCCAGAAAGCTGCTCCAGAATAGCCCTCTGATATCTTTCTCAGAACTTCTCTTTTTAGTTTAGAATTTTATCGGCAATTCTTATGCTAAAAGGGGTCAGGAGATGAGGCATTTCTCACGTTCCACTTGAAGCTACTCATGAATAATGGCCTATATCACCTCTATTGTCTGCCCCAAACCATAAGCAATCAGACATAAAGAAGAGAAATTAAAGATCACTGAATGAGCCAGCAACACAAGCTAAGGCAGGGGTAAATAGGTAAAAAAAATTCAATATAGAGCAGACAGTTATGTTGGGGGGAATATTTGGGTAGATTAACAACTCAACAGATAGGGAATGAGCCAGATTCTCTGGTTTAAGGGCAAGAAAGACAGAAAAGTATTCTGAAATCGTTGGAGTGAGAATAAGGATATCTCTCCCAAAGAGCCACGTAGCTAAAATAAACTAGGGGTCACTATTCCAGCATGATTGCCTAAAGGACTGAAATTCTTACTGTGGTTTTCACTGTCTGTTTCCCTGGCTGCCTGTGATTTATGCTGCCCATTGCTGTTGTATGGACAGAATCTGTGCCTCTGAATACTTTCTTTCCTCATCAGTGAATCAATTCTGCATTGCAGTTGGGGTTGTAGGCTTGAGGGTCTGGGCAGCCTGGAGAAGGTATTAAATGGAATTAGAAAAGCACAGTGAATAAAATAATTACAAATGCGTTCCATTGCTCTGTGCAAAGGCTATGTGTAGTCTCTCCCTGCATTTAATCTATAGGTCTATATATGTGTGTACAGGTAGAAACATCTGAGAGCAGAGCCTTGTAACTTTGCAGCGGGGCATCTGCTTCCTCAAAAACTCAGCCAAGACTTTCCACAGGGGCAATTTTTAAAAGGCAAACTTGGGCTTCAGTGTGGTGCCAGCTGAGTCATTTTGAAATAAGAAAAGGAAACAAAGGCCACACCAACTGAGGAGGTCACAGAGTGTGACGAGAGGTCTGTAAGAGGGCATGCCATGCTGCCTAATGGGAGAAAGCCAAGCTTTTGTGCCGGAGCAAGTCCAGTGAGTGATGGATGCTTTATGTGTCGAGGCTCAGACCTTCCTGTCCAGCAGCCTGCCTGCTGCTGGACTCTGAGCGATGACTGGTTTGGGGACGTCTGGCCTTTTGTTTCAGTCTTTCAAGGCAATGACATCAGATTTGATGGGGCATTGGTGCCTTCGGAGAGGCGAGTTTTATGTTCCTATTTTCTTAAAATTAAAGCTTGTAAGAAGTAAATAGAAAGGAGAACTTTTATCCAAAGCAGAAATCAAAGAGCTGAGTCTTCTAAATGTGAATAGTAATAAACTCTCATGCAATCACTTTGACCTTTCAAAACCTCTGTAAAGATTACCTCATAGCTTCCCTCCATTAAGACAGGAAGAAAGTAAGGCTGCCTCTCACTCTGTGTCCTGTCTTCCTTTTTTAAAAAAGCTCATTTAATGTAACACTCCTGCATGGAAGTCCAGCATTAGGGAGAACAAGCCAGTGGCTGTGCTTTGCTGCTTTCTGAGAACATGCTTTGATACGAAGGAGTTGGGTCATAGTCCTGAGCAGGGGAGGTTGGTGTGTCCAGAGTACTCTTCATGGAGGTAGTTCAGGGGTGCTCCTAAGGACTGGCTAATGTTCATACCATGTGCTCTCTGAACTGAGGGGGCAACCAGTCTACAGGATCAGAATTAGAAATGAAGTTTTGGGAGGCCTCTCTGAGCGTGACATTTCAGTAGGTGGAGGAGCTGGTCTCTTACTCTGGACAGATGAAAATTTCCAGATACATGACCCGAAGCACTGTGTTTAAGTAAGAACCAATATTCGGTGGTAAACATTCTCCTGAAGACTACCAGGATCTAGCCATAGCCAGGGACTGCTCAATTTTGTTATATTTAGAACACTTTCTTTACTTTTTCACTTACTGAAATCTTACAGATATATGGATTAATTAAGCCATTCATTTGTCCAGCGGGCATTGATACATTAAGTTCCTAGAGTGGGTACAATACTAAGCCAAGCACCGGGGAATACAAAAGAAGTGAAGGAACAGGACAGACCTGGTCCTTGAGAAATACATCATCGTACTGAGTGGGATAGAAAATACCCCACTGAGTGACACAGAGCCGTGGAGGAATGGTACAGTGCCGGGGCTGACGTGCTTAGGGAGGCAGGAAGGTGTGGACAGCGGCCAGCTTTGAAGTAGATTTGAAGAATGCTCTGAGTTTAAATTGGCAAAAAGAAGAAGATTTAAGACAAACACCTTAACTTCTGCAGAGCTTCTGCAGGAATGTGAGGTTCTGTTCTTTTGGCTCTCAGGAGCTGCTCCACATCATTGCATCTACCTTAGCACCCATGACCTCCCTCCTTCCCAAAACTGTACCTTTGCTATGAGGCGCACAGTAGGTGCTGTAGGAGGATTTGCCCCAAGCAAAAGCGCACCGATTGCCCATTTTGCCTGACTTCCCTGTGGTGGGCAAGGCAGAGCTGGTATTTGCTTGTACCTTTGTCTCCTGTAGCAGAGAGATGGTAACCACACATGATCAGGATTCTTGCACTGACTACTAGCATGATGGCTTCCCAAAGCAATGTAGCTTCTGGAGAAACATCCTCCAACTCATGTTCACGAAGATTTTATACTCAAAGCTGGTGTTGCTTCTTCCACAGCATGCTTTATAGCATTGTAAATGCCCCTTCTTCAGAGGCCTTTCTGTGCAGATCACAGTCATTTTCTTTTCGGTTCTAGTACTTAAATCACAATGTACAATTATTTATTTACCTGTACATCATCTGATTAATGTTTAACACTATCTAGAACTTGTTTCCTGTGAGTACAGGACCTAAATTGTTTGTCTCACCATATATGCACAATCCTAGCCTAGGTATCCAAAAATAAGTGATGGATGGATAACAGAATTTAACATCACTAATGGTTAGAGATGCGTAGTCCTGGTAACCAGGACACCTAGGATCTCTTTGGGATTATCACAGCCTGAGAGATTTCCTGGCTGCTGGGTCTAACATCACATACAGGTTCCCCAAGAAAGGAGTGGAGAGAGAATGCTTACTGTCACAGAATGCTTGCTGGAGCAAAGACATCCTGTGCCCTCTGAGTGAACTCACAGTGCCTCGGAACTGTCACCCAGCTGTGTTAGAGGTGCTGCCTTGTCTGTGATTTCATGCAGGATGCCTCCAGCATTGCCACAGGAATCCATTTTATTGCAATGTGTATTTTCTATGAGGACAGAGAAAATCAGCTCAGAGAAGCAGCTTTAGTTATAGTACATTTCCAAAGGAAAAGAAACTCCCCATTATTTCATGTTTTCAGTTTCTTACTGACTTTTGACCTACAGATTTTAGCTTCACGTTCTGGATAGGTGCTAAGATAATAGCAATAACACAGCTGATCTTTAGAGAAACACTAAGCTATTGAATCTTTACGACAGCCTTATCAAATGAATATCATTGTATTAATAGGACCATTTTATGGAGACATAGAAGATGAGACAACAGAACAAACAAGTGGTGGAACTGATATTTGAAGGCAGGTTTAATTCTGCAGCCTGCATTACCTATATTGCCTCCTGTTATAGGGCAATATTTACTTGAATCCTACTCTTGTATCAGGCTCATAGGTAGTTCATATGCATTTTCTGTTGGGGTCTTGTAATCACAGTTACCATGCTTGTATAGTAGGTGAAGACATCGAGGCTCAGAGAGGTTAGAAAACTTATTCAAGATCACAGAGCCAGTGGCATAGGAGGTCAAAGTTTGCTTGGTTTACTGGAAAGCCCACACTTCCTGCCACTAGGCATATTCCTTACATACTCCCAGAAATGTCCTATATGGGCAGTACAATGTAGTGGCATGGTGGGGTAAATTGCGGGCCACATGAATGACTTGTCAAATTTCAGCAGAATGCTGTGAGTGCTGACAAGTGGGTCACAGCTGTCACTGAGTCACAACTTTTATCCTTCATGCATTCTTGGATAGGGGAAATTTTTTTTAATTAACAATGCTGTTTGATCAAATTGACCTGCTTTCCAGAATTGAAAACTCCACACTTTCCATTCTTGTATACTTCCGGTGAATGAACTGTTCCATAGTTTTTATTCTTTCCACTTGGTTCCTGACCCTGCAAGGGAGAACGTGAAAGAGGGCAAGCATCCTCTGTATCTTCTTCTGTTTATTTCCATCAAAATCTATCTTTCTGCCAATGAAAAGTAAGGGCATGTAAATTACCCAAATCAGCTCTCTGTGTGTTGGGATAATGTGTGCTATAGTAAGTTATTGTACACAAGATGTCCAAGAACATGGGCACTCCTTGGTCTCGGTCTACTCTCCATCCATGCTGTGTCTACGTGCTGGCCAGGAGATTGGCCAGACACCCCACGCCTCAACCCCTGCAATTCTACTCTCCAGTCTTTGATGTACTTTGGCTCCTGTTTTTATCTAGTTCTGAGAAGATGAGCTCAAACTTGGCCTGGCCTCTCCAATCTTTAATTTATAAGTGCTCTTGTCAGTCCCCAGGCCTTGACTCTCTCCTGCAGATTTTTATTTGATTAACCCTTTTGACTCCTGACTTCCCTGGTTGGCTTAAAATGGAATCTTCTTTCCTAATCACAACCCTTTTGAATTCAATTTCAGCTCCTTTGCCAGCCTGGCCAATCTTGAGACACAGCAGGTCTCTATAGCTGTCATAGCGTACCTGCAATCAGCTACACAACTGGGCCCAGACCTTAAGCAATGGGGTATTTTTGTCCTCTCTGATAACAAACGTCTTTTAGTTTCAGTAATGATGAAATAGAAAAAATGCTTTGACAGTTTCATTTACTACAAAGAATTTAAATATGAGCATCTAAATGGAATATGTGGCTCTCAAATAGGCTTACATGTGTATAGAACTTAATCATACTTAAAATATCAATATAGGTAGGAGTGAATGTGAGGAAAATTACCAAGTATAGGAAAAAATAAACCTCCGCAGTTATATCTTTATGTCACTAAAAACACCAAAATAAATTTCAGGTAGATTACATGCATCAATTATACATATAAATAACATAAAGATAATGTTGGCAAATATTTAATGTTGAGAGAAAAAGCTTCAAATATAAAAGCATCTGATGATATCACAAAGCAAAATATGAGATTTGTATAGAAAGAATACAAAATTTCTCTGTAAATTAAAAATATAAAGTACAAAAATATACTTGTGACATTTGAAAAAGACCATAAATGAGTATATATGAATATGTATATATATATACATGTATATATATATCCCCACATATATGCACACACATAAATTAACATGCATAAATAGTGCATCTTGCTGGGTTTGGTGACACATGCCTTAATCCCAGCACTTGGGAGGCTGAACCAGGAGGATCACCGTGGGCTTCATAGTGAGTTTAAGGCTAGGCTGGTCTATCCAGCAAGACCTTGTCTCAAAACGCAACAATATATTTAAAAAGTGTGTCCTGCAAATCAATAAGAAAAATAGTAGTAGTGCAACAGAAAAATGAAATATGAACATGGATAAAAAGAAATTGGCAGTGAACTCTTGAGAAATATAAGTCCAATCTTAATAAAATTTAAAGGAACACAAACAACAAAATTAAGCAACATGCTGATAACTAGTAGACATTAAAACTAATAAAACAAAACTCAAAGCTAGTGAGAGTGCAGAGAGATGGGAACTCCGTCCAATAGGTACGTAAATTTGCCAATATTTTCTGTAAGGCTCTTTAATAATACATGAAAATATTTTGATTCATTGATCTCAATTCTAGTCTATACTACAGAAAATTGCCAGATATTTATGCAAAAAGATGTTTATTACAATTACATGTATAATCCAAAATTTAGAAGCTCCTAAATGTCTAGTATTGGAGGAATGCTTAAGAAACTTATATGTGGAAAATCGGATATAGAAGATAATCCTTTAAAATGTGTTTGAAGAATAATGTATCAAAAATGATCTGGACATACCTACCTGGGAAGGTAAGAAAAGAAACTATGTTATGATCCAAACAATGCTAAAAAATACCTAAGTATATGGATGGACATCCACATATGTAAAGGATAAGAAGGAAATGTGTTAAAATACCAAGTGACTGTCTCCAAGAGTTATGATTATGGATAATTTTAATCATCATCTTTGCATTTTTCCCTAAGGTATTGCTAGCAAACATGAGGTTTTTATTATAATTGGAAAAATAGTAGACGTTATTAAAATAAGTATACCTGCATTATTCGAATTACTGTGGACTTTTTTTTTTTTTTTTAAATTTCCATTAAGCACCAAGGCAGAAAGGAAAAGATCCTTCCTTGGGTTACACCTGGGCTAGCGCAGGTTATTTGAGGAGCAGAGGAAATGGATCTCCAGAGTCCTCTGGAGGAATCAGTGAGCTGACACACTACACAGTGCTAACAGAGCAACACAACAGTTCACTGGGTACTTTGCATAGACAGAAATTAGAAGCAGTGGTTGTGATTAGCACGAAGCCATATGGAAAATACTACTGGGATCTGTTCCCCTCCTGGAAATTGAGATCCAGCCATTTCTGATCTCATGAATCTGCTCTTCTAAAAGCTATCCTAAATGGAAAAAAAGTGCTCTGAGCTTTGACTGTGGTTTTCCTAACAGAGTCTTTGCTCTCCATGTTGATATTTCCGACACTAACCAACAAGCTTTTATGGGGAAGGAAACCACTTGACTTGACAAAGCCTAGCTCAGCAACATCCATTGAATGAATGTGCTTAATGAATGTGTGAATTCACATTGCACTGTTTTGTCTGAAAATAAGTTTTTTTGTGGATTTTTTCTCAGTGTTCACCAGAGTAAACTTAGTTTTTTGTTATTTGGTTTTACAATTCAGTTTGATGAAGATCCAAGGGGAAAAAATGTCAAGAGGTCACCATGTGTGCTCAGGTATTAATTTGCCCACACGTTATAACGGCTGTGTTATGTGTTGGCTCAGTGATCTTAGCAAAGTCACTTGACCTCTCTGTGCTCTTGTTTCTTCATCTGTGAACAAAGACAGTAACAATGGTACATATCCTATAGGGGTGTTATTAAGACTGAAAGGGTTGTTAGACATGAAACACTCATCACGGTGTAAATTGCCTGGCTTGGCACAGTGTAAGTACTCTATAAGTGGTAGCTATTATTATTTTCTTCCCTAAAAAGCAGCAGACATCCTCTTCAGTTAAGCAGGCTATTGAAGTAGTTTTTTAGTTACTATAAACCACCCAATATTTTCTATCAACCATGTGTAGGTAATGAATGTGATGTCTTAATAAAGCTTGATATTTTGTAGCAATTAGTGTAAGCTCCATTATTCATTGTCTCTTTCCATTAGTTAGTGATCATCATGACAAAGTAATAAAAAGGGTCCTTAAAAAATGCTTCCAATAGTGAAGATGTCAAACACCAATTACTGTAAAACACTGCTCTAAGGCTAGTGTTGTTTTTCTCACTTTCATTTCATGATTTAAAATTTGTCTTCTTTAGACTCTAAGCTCTTTAAGGGCAAAATTATCTTTCTACACATCACACCTTATATTGTTCTTTACAAGTATTTTACTGACAGACAAATACTAAAGGAATAATTAGATCTTTCCCTTTTTATTTTATTTTTTATCTTTTTATTGGTACTGAGGATCGAACTCATGACTGCATGCTTGTAAGACAGGTGCTTATGCCACTGAGCTAAATCCCCAGCCCCTTTCCCTTTTTATTTTAAACATAATGAAAACTTAGTGATGACTCTTTTAGCAAAGGTATTTCTCGTGAACTGTTAAATTTCTTTCTGTAATTTCATCGTGGAACTTTAAGTCTTTATGTTTTACCTTCAAAAGATATTACCACCATATACTGCTAAGATTGGAATCCAGTGGAAGGCTGATTGGTGCTGGTCAGTTCACATGATTACTGTTTTATTTTAGATGTAAATACACAATTGGTCTCTTTGTCCACTTTATTCATTATTTATTCTTTTTTTTTTTTTTTTTGGTCGGTACTGGGGATTGAACTCATGACCATGTGCTTACAAGGCAGGCACTTATGCCTCTGAGCTAAATCACCAGCCCCCATTCTTTGTTCTTTATGATGAATGCCATATTCAGATTTTAAAATAATTATTGCAATTTTTCTATCAGTGCTACTCTTCAATTGTGTAGTACTGGGCATAGACTGTTTTATATACATTGTTTCATTTAATTTATATAGCAGAATTGTGTTTTTATTACTGTTTAAAATGTGGAAATCTGAGGATTGGGAGGAGGCTGGGTTAGATATTACTGACCACATGCTTTATGTATATTATCTCATTAAATCCTCACAGTAGCCCTTGAGGTAAGCAATAGTATTGCTGTTTTATTAAGAAAAATGTGAGGCACAAAGGTATTAGGTATATTTTATAGAACTGAGATTCAAAACCTGATTTTCCTGGTAGTACAACTTATCTTCTTTCTACTATACCTCAATTTCATAGAAAGATTCTAGGTTTTCATGACTGAGATGCTGTTTTGAAGCTCCATGGCATTATACTCCAGATACATGAATAACAGAGGACATCATAGGCCAGCCCTTCTGTGCCTCATCCTTTCTGCAGAGAACTCATCTCCCTCTCCCAGTCTTCCCTGCTGGGGATAAAGATGGAGCATACAGATGTAGCTTTGTTATAATGTGTCTCTGTTTGCAGAATCTTCAACCAATGCACTAACCTGGAATGTGACTGAGCTCAGCATTCCCACCTTCTTTCTCTGTTCCAAACTTTCTAAACCCAATTTTTATTTGCAGAACATTACAGAAAACTAAGATCTGAAACTTGGGATTCAGGGTGGCCTCGCACGTGGAGAACAATAACTTTCTTCCCACTGTACAGTGCATTTCAAGGGTGATTGTTCCAAATTCTGAGAAAGGACCAGTTTGATTAGACATGTGGTGGGGTTAGTGTATTGCAGAGAATCTCCTGGAAAAAGATTACACTTAGTCTTGAAAAGGCAATCTGATCTTTAGAACCTAACCACGCTGGTGGCAAGGTAGAATCTCCCCTGTTCATTTTTGGATTAGGGAATTGTTGCTTAGTATGCTAAGAGAATTCATTTTCCTTGAGTGTTTTTCCTTTCAAGTCACGTTTTATTGCTGGAGTTACTCAGCGAATTAATAGGTATAGAAATGCAAAGCTCTTTTCTTATTACATTCTATCGATCTGATTGCACTGTCATTAATTGAAAGACCAGGAAAATGTGATGGATAGTTCAGCTCGAGATTCTGTGTTCATTTTGGCCCAGATCTGTTGGAAGAAAGCTGCATGAAACTGTCTGAAAGAAGCCTTTTGGTCTGACATGAATTATTCTTTCTTTGTCAATCCCTGTGAGAGCATTATTCAGTCCTAGTGAGATTTACAATGTGAAATTGAAAACTGTTTCCTTAAAAGAAAATCAGAACTCAGAATGCTTATTTATAGAGCTGGAAATAATCTGTCCTGTATGTTTTATAGACTATCTATATTGTATACAGCATTAAAAAATACAATTTTGCAAAAACAAATTCTGACCCAAAAACATGGAAGAGAGGAATTTTATTCTTTTAAGTAATTTCACTTGCACTATGGTGTGCTGAAAGAATATTTTTGTTCATTTCGTATTCATCACCAGTTAGTCCACCACCATTCTAGGAGGATGTGTAGCTTGACAAAGATTCATATGTGGTTAAGGATTTTTTATTGGCTATATTTTTATTATTTGATGTACTATTTCTAGGATTTTCTTCATAAATTTAATTTAACTTGAGAATTTTATATATGTATATATAGGCCCACACACATATTTCATAGGACTTTAATATGAAATATTTAAAGAGTTGCAAAAAATATTTTAATTTCCATGTGAAGGAAAAATTCTCCCACATCAGATAAGAATATACCAGACTATTTTCCACTTGTTTGCAAAGACACAACTTATCTCTTTGCTTTCTAGTTCGTCGTATTTTAATGAGCTGAGCTGGCTTTCTATTGTGTTTATTATTTTAAATATTTGAAGCTTGATGTGGAGTGGGAGAAATATCCAAATTTGAAACTCATTTACATTTGCCATAAAACCTCATCTGGCTCTTGCAAATATTATCATCTGGAGAAGTTTAAGAGGTTAATTCATATTGTTAGTAATGCATGGCCTATCCAGCTTATGTGTTTGCATTGTCTTTCTCAAGGTGTGATATTTATCCTCGGTCCCGATTTCAGACGTGGAGAGGTAGGAAGGGAGCGTGTTGCCATGCGCGGCGTGACCTCATTTTGGAACACATCTTGGAAATGTGTTTAATGCTCTCTGAGCACAGAGACAATGGAGCATGGTTTGGGGTCCTCCTCCCTGACCTTTGGCTTGGTGGGAAATGTGGGCTGCTTCCTCTGTTCCTCAGCTGCTCTCGGGCTGGAAGGAGGCTGCCCCAACCTTAGGAAGCAACTGCTCTTGCAGAGTGCACAGGCTGCCTTCCTCACCCAGATATTGTGTCTAAAAATACACCCACCGAGAGGCAGGCATATGCTCGCGCCTTGGTGTGAAGGAGCTCTCGCCTGTGTGTCTTGCTCTACCCATCTAAATTCTGGAGTGAGGAATTAAATTATTCCAGAAGCCCTGCCAGTTTTTGATTTGCCATTGTCTCTGCTTCTGCGCTGCCTCTGAATGGGACCCTTGATCCGCGGCTTTCATACACCAGCGGGGCTGATGGGGTCTGTGACTTTGCCAATGGCGTCCGCTCCTTACAGTTGCATTTGTCTCAGGAGTATTTTTAGTTTTCTCTTTCTTGTTTTTTTTCTTTTTCCTTTTTGGGAGGTAGAGAGCTCTGGGCAGAGGTTGTACCCGACACATTAGAACTCCGTTGTCTCTGCTGTGGTTGTTACTCCCCTCGGCGAGAGCCAAGGAGCAAACAGGACGGTGGGTCACCTCCCATATTTAGCCCCATTTTCCCTTTTCCCCCTCAACCTTGCTAGGATTTCTTCTTTCTTAAGCGACAGGCTGGGATGGGGGTTCCTGGGACCCCCTTTCTCCAGCTCCATCTTGATAAGGATTCTTTCCCCCATTGCTAGTGCCTCTGCTCGTGTGAAAGGTTGCTGGACTCACTCTCCTCAAGTCCGATTTTATGCTCTATTGTTGGCTTTTTCCTGTGAGTGTTAGCTCTAGATTTCCCAGCTTCTGCAGTTGCCTTACGTGTTAGAACGGGAGAAATTATTGTTGAGCTATCTTTTCAAGGAAGAAAGAAAATAAAAATTGCTCTTTGGAGTCATAGTCTCAAGAAAAGAAACTATAAATAGCAAAGGGAAATAAGATGACACTGCTCTGCAGACCCTGCCCCAACTTGGCTGTATCTCCAGGTGAGACTGTCTGTCTTGTTTACAGAGTTAGAGAAAGGTATTAAGATTCAAGATATTGTATGTTCTGTGTCTGGTTCGGAACGATTTCAATTCTAACAAGAAGTGCTGGTTTAAGAAATGCCATTTTTCATGTGTGAGATCTGCAAGCATTACAAATAGTATCACATACAAAGTACACCATTCTGTTTGAAATTATCCATATTTAAAAGTAGGAAGTTTAACTATTACTTGTGCCTCTCTCTTTCTCTTTGTGTATTCAAGTGAGCAATATTTTGATGTCCTTTAACACTGAAAGGCAATGTATTTTTCAAAAGATTTTCTTAGGCTTCTGTAAAATGAGAAAAAAAGAACTTTTTTTCAGCTGGTTGGCACAGAATACATTTAATGCAAGTGAATAGAGACATGTCCTATGTTAGCTGTTACAGTATGCCACTAAAAAATACACACATGCGCCTCCCCCAAGTAAACCTACTCAGAACTAATCAAAATTTAGGCTTGAGTTTAAACCAGAATGCTTTCATCTGTGGAGGAGCCTTAATGCTCTTATGTGCCTTTCGATAGGTAAATATATTTCTCTTTCCTTTTCTTCACTGCTGTTTTTAAAGCTTCTTTCATAAAAGTGACTAAAATGGACAAAGAATTCCACAAAAACAGTTAATTTCAGCTCTAGTAGGAATTGATTAAAATGGAGCAGGGACAGAATGTGGTATAAATTCTTATTTGTCATTGGACATATCCTTTTAGTTCAGATTAATCCATTTTATTCCCAGTGATGCCAAAGAAACATATGTGCTTATAGATGCTCCATGTTTAACTATGTGGCTGGATCTATTACAACCTGTAATATTACATGGATTTGAGAGCTAAACAGAAAAAAAGAAAAACCACCACAAATATGTACCATTATTTGTAGCCAGCAGGTTGTGTGATCGAGAGGCTGGAGTATTTGCACGCCTTTCCACCTTTGTTCCCTCAGAGGTGTTGAAGGTCTCAGCTATTGCTGGCTAATTGATAGTTGTGGTAACCGCTATAGGCTCCTCAGATTAGAAATGCATGCAGACGTGTGTCTGGATTCAAACATTAAGTAATGAACACTCTTACTTACACAGGCAGAAAGTCTTCATACTAATAGAGGTGTGATGGAAATAGCAGGCATAAAATAGAAGAGAGAGAGGGAGGGAAAAAGAGACAGAGAAGAGAGAGGAAAAGGGACAGAAAGGAGAGTGAGAGAGGGGTTAGAGAGAGAGAGAGAGAGAGAGAGAGAGAGAGAGAGAGAGAGAGAGAGGCTGGCAGCAAGTATATTCTGCAAATAGTTTTAAAATGCATTTGCAAATGCAGAAGCCTTCAGAACCATCCACCAATTCAGACACCCTTTTATTCCTTCTCTGCGGGACGCCTCCATCCAGATTATTCGCAAAAACACGGAAAAGGTGAGAGCCCTGCCATCTTAGCTCAGAACTGCCCCGATTTCCTTTTCCCCCCCTGCCTTGTATTCCTCAATCCATTGTCCATGCATCCCATGGCAGCCGCCCTGACTCTTGAATGAGAGTCACAGCAGGAGCAGAAAGAGGGCTGAGGAAAGGCATTGTCAAAGCCACGGCTGTCTATTGTTCCTTTGCTTTCCCTGCTCTGCCTCTCCCCACCCCAGGCTTTCCTTTCCCAGTGGCCTCTGTCCAAGAAGAGGGAGAAAATTGCAAGAGTTAGTGGAGTCGTTTTTCCTGCACAGTGTTTTGATAAACAGCTCAGCACTGCAGTCCACAAAATTAGGAAATACAGTAAGAGGAGGATTGTGGTGGGAGGTGGAGGGGAGGCTTTGAGGCTTGCTGGGTCCATCCTAGAAGCCAACGGCACTTTCTTCTAAGGACTTCTGCGTTGGTATTTGTTTTCTGTTGTGATTTCAGTTTTTAAAAGTCACAAGAAAGGTCTTATTCATCTGTCAAGCTTGCCATTTGTTTATTTTTTTGCTCGGTGCAACAACTTGATGGCAATTTTACAGAAGGCCAGATCTGCTATTTTGTGATTTTCTTAAATGTTGAAATCAGTTCAGGCTGATTCTGTGATTGTCTTTTTTTCAGATCATTTCAGTTTGCATGTAAAATTTATGTGGTAACTTTCTGATATGCATTAAACATTTAACCATAGTTTTTGTAACCGCAAGTGGTGCTATTGTGTTATTTTGTACCTTAAACATCCTTGCTTTTTTGAGTGACATTTATGAAGAAGTGATTATCTTCTATGAATGGGCCAACTCCTTATGATCCCCATAGTTTTCAAGGGTTTCAGTTAGACTCTTAAAATAGATTTACAAGAAAGTATTTCAAATGGGTGTTTGACATAACAAGAAAATTATGTGGAATTTCCCTGTAACTTTTTTAAACTTCAACTTTATGTAGTTTATTTTTCTTTAAATAAATAAATATGATTTAACCTGTTTCTATAGAGAATCAGAAGAGCAGGTAAATGTGAACTCCATATCCAAACAATTTAGCTGAAAATAAGCCACAATTACACATTTTATAAACTCGTTTTAGCTTAGAAAAAATCACATACCTATAAATGGTTTGCCATCATTTTCTTCCTTCTAAATACTGTTCTATCTATAATTATCTAGAAAAATTATTGCCAATTGATTTTTTTCTTCAAGCCATCTAGCTTCTGGCTTCTGTCCAGGACTCTTTACTATTTTCAGAATTTGCTACACATTCAGCATTTCAGTTCTAAAATGTGTTTTCCATCAAAAGGGGACAGATCTTCATGTAGAAGAGGAAATGTTTGCAAGAACTTATTTCATTTTATAAGACACGCCAGTTGTTTGGAATTCAATATGAACTCACAATGTCTTTCTTTTCAAAATAGGGATTGTAGCTGGACTATGACCGTGAAGGTAGAAAAACTTTTGGGCTCCATAAGCTAATACACTAAATTGGAAGTCTGAGCTCTCATTTATATGAACATCTGGTTTGGCACACTGCAAATACATTCTCTCCCTTCCCGTTCCCATTGCCTTAATTTAGGGGACTCAGACTCAGCCACCCTGCCTCTCTTTTGTGAAGGGGACAGTTTGAAAAGTCTATAGAAAGCAAACTTCTCAAAAAAAAAAATGCAGAGCAGGCTATGGTTTGAATGCAAGTCTGAATTTAATTGCGGCAACTCTGGTGGTCCACTGTTTAATTTCCAGCATGCATCTGCATGATCCTTACCACAACTGTAGGTCAGGAATTGTAAGCAGGGGAAATTTGTCTGTGATAGTGATAGTTACATTTTTTTAAATTAAGTTTTTGAACAATTACTTGGGGCTGATTCAAAAGTCAATTTTAAACAAATGAGTCTGGAGTTTTTATGAAAGGGGAAGTTGGTCTTGTTAATTTCTTTAAAGCACTTTGGAGAGAGAGAGAAATGGTGAGTTCCATGTGCTGATCAGCTCTACCTTGGTAAAGGGTAAACTGAGGGAAATATGTTGAAATGCACGAGACTGGGTAGTCTTATCACTCAACCAGTCTAAGCAAACTCTGTTTGCTGTTTGAGACAGTGTGATTTTCCCCAGAGCTGGAAGGCATGCTTCTACCCAAGGGACAGACTTGGAGGGCACTGCATCTCTTAGCTTGTGTCCCTGCCTGTTTTCAGCTTCTTTTGGAACAACTTGAAAGAAACAACTACATTTATGACCAAGATTGACCTTCAGACATTTTGAAGGCAGAGAGAGGTTCATGTTCAAACAATAATCCAAACATTTCACACAACTGTAGTTGTTTTAGAACACAACATTTAAACTAGAGGAAAGGCCCAACTTGGGGATTTCTTAAAACTAGGCTTGACTTACCTCCAATATTTCTACATACTGAACACCATGTGGTCAAAATACTATTAGTGCCCCCAATCCCGTAATGTGTTTTGAACCCAAGACCTGGACACTGAGCTACATCCTTAGCACTTTTAAAATTTTTGAGACAGGTTTTGCTAACACTAAGTTACCCATTGGAGTATGAACTTTTAATCTTCCTGCCTCAGCTTCCCAAAGTCCTGGGGTTACTGTGTGTCACTGTACCCATTCTATCTAAGGCATCTATTATCTGATGCCTAAAATTATGAACACTTTTTAAAGGAAAAAGAGTATATCTTGGAATTGTAAGAAAACACTTTACTAAGAGTCAAGCAGAACACATGTATATGAACACAAAAGATGGGGCAGGAGTTAGCTGATTTCTCCTCCTTTGCCCACATTGGCTCGAGCTGATTTACAGTAACCTGTAAAATGGCAGAGCTTAGCCAAAAACAATAAAATCATTTCTGCTTCTTTTATTAATTGAAAAAGTTTTCTTTCAAAAAAGTAGATTTATCTATGCTTAACTTACTGTTAAGTAGCAAGCACACCTTTTAGAGTTACCACTAATTTTTTTCCAGTACTGAAGATTGAGCTCAGGGCCTTCACACTAAGTTATATTTCTGTCTGTCTGTCTGCCTGCCTGTCTATCTATCTATTTAGTGACAAGCATCTCATTAAGTTGTCTAGGCTGAGCTCAAACTTGTGATCCTCTTGTCTCAACCTTCCAAAGTGGTGGGAAT